TCCCCCCCCCCCCCCCGCCCCCTGTGATGTTCTGGTTTTGTGTACCAAGACTTCTTTGCCTCAAAGGAACTACATTTTAACACCTTGTATCTGTTTCCTTAACCCTACCCTAACCCAGGCCTCTTCTACTTGTTATATTTTTTAATTCTTCTCCTTTATTCTTGCATATGCTAAAAGTTCTTTATCCCCATTACTTGGGGAAGATGCATGTGTCTCTATTTGGAAGACAAGGCCAAATAAAATGATCACTGATCACATTCATTACTGTATGTGATCAGTGTTTGCTTTCAATTCACATGGATGATTGAGTTGCTTTCCTAGGTATGTATCCCACTAACCTCTTGACTTTTGAACTTTTTAAAAAAATGTATATATTTTATTGATTTTTTACAGAGAGGAGAGGAGAGGGATAGAGCGTTAGAAACATCGATGAAAGAGAAACATCGATCAGCTGCCTCCTGCACACTCCCTACTGGGGATGTGCCTGCAACCAAGGTACATGCCCTTGACCGGAATGGAACCTGGGACCCTTCAGTCCGCAGGCTGACGCTCTGTCCCAGCGGTTCTCAACCTGTGGGTTGCGACCCCTTTGTCGGTCGAACGACTCTTTCACAGGGGTCGCCTAAGACCACCATGCATATCAGATATTTACATTACGATTCATAACAGTAGCAACATTACAGTTACGAAGTAGCAACGAAAATAATTTTATGGTTGGGTCACAACATGAGGAACTGTATTTAAAGGGCCAGAAGGTTGAGAACCACTGCTCTATCCACTGAGCCAAACCGGTTCAGGCGACTTTTGAACTCTTTAAAGATAGCATCCCCTCCCCCCCCCTTGGCATCCTCTCACAGGGTTCGGAAAGCAAATGCTGCTCTCTTCTTGTTTTCTGTAACCGATTGAAGTGTTTTTACATGGTCGGTACATTGTTCTCTGCCTGTCTGTTTCATGGTAACTCTTGGAGGATTTGATGAGGTTTGGTTAAATCTCAGATACAGCTAAGGGCTTCCGAGACACATCATCAATTTGCTTTCTGACTTGCTCTGACCTGTGAAACCGAATGCCAGTCGAGCATGGTTCACGTGAGCCTGGTGTCAGTGGTGTTTAAGACCATTTGGCGTGCTGCTAGAGGTGTGTGGGCGCAGGGAGTTGTAAGAGTAACCGTGATCTGCATAGAGTATCAAAAGCCCCTGTTTGTGTGTGGTGGTGTGAGGCCTGGCACACGGCAAGTTCCAGACTGTGGGTGCCTGCTGCCTTTTCCACTCTCAGATGAGCACCACCAACACCACAGCTCTTCCCGGCACACGCCCTGCGGGGTAGAGGTTGGCGAACGTTGGTGGAGTCCAACAGACCTGAGTTCCACTTCCCATTCACCCACTCACTAGCTGTGGTACCTGGAGCAAGTTCCTTAACCTCTCCGAGTTTCTAATTCCTCATCCTTTAAATGGCGGTCACACCACACATTTCTCAGGGTGGTCGTGGGGATTAGCAGCTACGCGCAGCCATAGCACCTGGGGAGTGTTCCCTCACGAGGGGCTACTGCTGCCCTATCGATGTAGCAACAAGCACTGCTGTGGCTGCAGGTGAGACGGCGAAGGCAGTGAGCCATGCGGAGTGAGGAGAGAGGGCAGAGAGGGGCCTCCACCTCACTCCTGACCACACGTCTTCCCCCAGAGCCCTGAGGATGATGACAGGAAGGTCCGAAGGAGAGAGAAAAACCGTGTCGCTGCTCAGAGAAGTCGGAAGAAGCAGACCCAGAAGGCTGACAAACTCCATGAGGTGAGGCTGTGGTCGGAGCAGAGCCACACTAGGGCCATGAAGACGCTCGCATGTGGTGGTGGCCCTGATGTCACGTCCTGGTCATCACCAATTTGGCCACATGCGCGTCTAATTCTGCTCTGTGCTTCCAGCCCAGTGTTCTGGTTCTTTGCTCATTGGCCTCTTCATTTCTCCCTCATCCACTGGCTGCATCTCACACCCAAGTTTCTTTCATTATAAAATAAAAAAAACCACAGACTCCCTTTTGAGCCTGATTCCCTTGTAAGCTAGTGCCCTTTTCTTTCCTTCCCTCACTTTTCTGCTTCTTAAAGAGAGACATGCTGGCTCCATGGCCTCAGTTCCCATTTATTGCCCAGTCCTCTCCCTCCCCACCCAACATTCTCTCTCTCTCTCTCTCTCTCTCTCTCTCTCTCTCTCTCTCCCTCTCACACACACACACACACACACACACACACACACACGCACACACTCTTCCTATAGAAGCTGCTCCCGCTGAGACCACTAGTCTTATCACCCTTGACCTTGCTGGACTGGACTATTTGACACCATTCATCCTCCCCTTTTAAAAAACCTTTTTCAAGGTCTTTAGCTTCTAAAAAAACAAACAAACAAACAAACAAACAAAAAAACCCACATCTCCTACTTCTCCTGACCCACTTAACCACTTTTTCTCTCAGTTTCTTTGTTAGATTTTTCTGTCTCTGTCTGTTTTCTTTTTTTTAAATATATTTTATTGATTTTTTTACAGAGAGGAAGGGAGAGGGATAGAGAGTTAGAAACATCGATGAGAGAGAAACATCGATCAGCTGCCTCTTGCACACTCCCTACTGGGGATGTGCCTGCAACCAAGGTACATGCCCTTGACTGGAATCGAACCTGGGACCTTGAGTCCGCAGGTTGACGCTCTATCCACTGAGCCAAACCGGTTAGGGCTCTGTCTGTTTTCTTAAATGCTGTTGATCAGACTCTGTCCTTGTTTCTTCTCACCCTGGAAAATTAAATCTATAAATCTGCTTTCCCATCATCAATCACTCTGGGAAAGACCTCTGTTCTAGCCATAACCACATCTCAAAGTTTCCCAATGGGACTGCAGGCTCCTCACATACAGCATGGTCATAATAGAGGGCCTGCTGATCCCGAGACAGTCTATTCTCACTGTCTTCCATTTGTACTTAATGGAGCTAACCATCTTTCCCATCACCCAGATCTGGAACCTGGGATTTATCCTAAACTCTTCCATTTTCCTCGACCCCTGTGCATAACCCCACATCATCTCACGGCTAGGACATGGGCACTGCTCTCTGTCAGGAACTGGCCTCAAAGGCATCCGAGGGTCTTTCCAAGGAGTGGGGCCCAATTCCAAGCTCTCGTCTTTGCACAGCGTTGGTGTGAACCACTACGGTTTTAGTTGAACTCTCTCCTGCCAAGCTTTCTTGCCATAGATTGTCTCAGCAATCCAGTCTGGGGGCACCGACGGCAGAGGAGACCGGGGTGTTTTGAGGGGGAATGACAATCTCTGAAAACCCTTTAACAATGAACAGAGAACCGAGTTAGGATGTATGCATTCCAGGGAGAGGAGACCCACTGATATAGCTTCACAGCGTGGCAGTAGGAAGGCTGGGCCCTGGGCTCTTCCAACTGGGGTCAGGGAAGGTCCATCACCTTTAGTTCCATCACCTTTCCTCAGAAGACCTGCAGTGCCCTTTGCCTCTTTTCTCCCTCCCCGCTTCCTCCTAAAGCTGTCCTGCTTCTGGCTTCATGTCACCGAGTAACCCCTGGGGCTCACAGTGCATGGCCCTGTGTTAGAACATGTGCCAGGTGGACAGCTCGGGTCTTTCCCCTCAAGAAGCTTCTAGTCCAAGGCAGGTACATTAATGTAAAAAACAAGAGGACACTCGGTTTTAAGTCCTGAGTGATTATGTGTATAGAGGCGAGTGAATGACTTGAACAAGAGCTTTCATAGAGAAGGTCAAGTAGATTCACCTCACACATATTTATGAAGCACTGCTGTGGGCAAGGCATTGTCATTTGGGCCACAAAGGAAGGAGTGAGGTCGTGTTCCTGTCCATGGGAAGCGCAGGAATTTCCGGGGAGTGTGTATTAGCTTCCTGTGGCTGCTGTAACAAAGTATAACAAATGTGGTGGCTGAAAACAACACAGATTTATTATCTTACAGTTTTGGAGGTCAGGTGTCTGAAATGGATCTCACAGGGCTGACATGAAGAGCGTTCCTTCTGGAGGCTCTGGATAAGAATCCGTTTCCTTGCTTTTTCCAGCTTCTAGAAGCTTCTGTGTCCCTTGGCTTGTGGTCTCTTTCCATTTTCAAAGCCAGCTGGCCAGTCGGGTCTCTCTTATGCTGCATCGCTCTGACACTTCTTCTGTAGGCACATATCCTTTTCTGATTCCTGACTCCTCCTTTCACTAAAAAAAGACCCTTGTGATTAATGGGGTCCATCTGCATAATCCAGGTTAATCTCCCCATTTTAAGGTTCTCGATTAATCACATCTGCAAAGTTCCTGTTGCCACTTAAAGTAACATAATCACAGGTTCTCAAGAGTGTATGTAAACATCTTTGGGGGCTGTTATTCTATCACAGAAAGCAGCAGCGCGAATTTACTACAGAGTTAAGACAGGTCTTTCCATTTCTGTCACTGTTTGATTCAATGACCAAATGAACCAGGTGCCTGGGAAACTTACCAGTAGGGGTGGTGCCGCACGTACTCCCACATGCTCCCTCTTAGAACCGCAGGTGGAGGGCCCGTCTGCGGGGTTCCTCGCCTGTTCCGCTGTCCACAGACAGGACTGATTCTGCCAGGTGTCCTTTCCAGAAATGGGGCTGGTCGATCTGAAAGCCGGTCCCTCCATGGAAGGACACTCTCTTCTCCCCTTCCTCTGTGGAGCTAGAAGAATGCATGAGGATTGTGCGCCTGGCGGATCCCCTCAGTGAGGCCAGTTTGGTTGAGAAACACAGCGTCCAGGAGGCCAGGACAGCGACTCCATCCGTATACAGACCCCAAAGCTGGAGGCCTTCAGTTGCCGCTAACCACACCCACGTCACTGGTCACAAGAGGGTGTGAGGGAGCCGGTGGCGGGCTCAGGAAAATGGAAATATCCAATCCTTCAGTAGAAGAGGAGGAGCGGCGTCTCTGGGCCACATGAATAATCCCTCCTCCTTCATTCCTTGCCTCCTTCCAGGGAGCACATCATAGTTTGGGGGATCTATGTTCTTTCTATATGGCCAACGTAGTGAAAAAAAAAGTAAATATAGTAAAAATCGACTATATTTTAAACATTGAAAAAAATCTTCCTATTGGGGGTAGGGCATCTGATAAAAAAAAAATGTGGTGAGTTGAGGGCGGGGCACCTAGCATACTGCTGTCAGCCATGGCAGAAAGCCCCGCAGGCCCCCTGGGGCTCCCAGGCCACAGGTAGGATGGGAAAGTGAGAGGGGACACAGTGCGTGGAGGGGCCCGCTCACTGGGAGGCGCCCGGGGCAGGAAACAGCCACCTGACAGCCGTGGCTGCTCGCTACTCCCTACGGAGATTTGAGTAAAGTCCCTGTCCCATACGCCTCTATCCCAGGCTCTGGGTAGCGCTGCTAAACATCTCAGAGTCACTCAAGATCTTTATTTGCCTTTCTTGAATACCCAGAAGGGGAATATTTAGAGCAAGACGTTTAAAATTCCCACCTTTCTCCTCTGCCCACCTCTCTCACTCACCTCCTCCAGTCCCAGCTCATCTAAGTCTCTCGGCCACCTCCCTCCCCTCCCCGTTCTCCAGAGGACTGTCCTTCTAGGCGCCCCTTCCCCCCCTTCCCCGCCTCCCCACCTTGGAGGGCAGGCCAGTGGGAGAGTGGGGAAAGGCTAAACCAGGGGAGAGTCTTCCCCTCAGGGTAGCAGTTGCTGGAAGTTGGACTGCAGTGGTGACAGCAGTTCCCAATGTGTATCTGTGGACCTCAGTGCTCTCTGTGGCTTTTTAAAGCACCCCTTCAAGGCGCTGACACCTCTCATGGGGATTTCGACCCCCATTCATCTCTGGATGTTAGGCACACGCCTGAGTCCACATTCACAAATAGGAACCCAGCGAACAGTCCAGCGCCCCAAGGCAGAGGCTGAAAGAGGCTCCTTTCAGAAGTGGGTCAGACTGGTTGGAGCCAGGCACCGAAAGGCGTAAGACTGAGAAAGAATTTTGAGTCAGAAAAGGAAGGCCGCGATGCCATCCTCAGGAGCCCCAAATGTCACAAACGGACACGTGTCTTGAGTAATACGGTTGTGGTATGTGTTGCCCCGGTTGTTCCAGATACTGCATTTTCTAAGAGAATGCTTCATGTTAGTCCCCCACTTGGTTTAGAAACATATGATGACACCAAATTTTACCGCCCTGGCTGGTGACACACGTTTCTGCCGGGAAGGGGATCCGGGTAAGGTTTGGGAATAGACTTCTTGTAAAACCCTGAGCGTACCGCCCTTCTCTGCTGGTAACCGCCATGGGGACATTTGAGTCCAGGCACTGCGAGGGAAGGTTGAATCGCTGTCGTTGCATGAGCATTGCCGTTGACCTTGAAATCGGGGGTCAGGCTCCAGTCTACATGACCTTGGGAAAGTCACCGGGCCGCTCCGAGTTTCAGTTTCTTGCTTGTGAAATGGGGTCCGTGTATGGCTGTGTCCTGATGGCCATTTCCTCCCCGTCCTGTCCTTTCTTCCCTTAGTTATCAGTTCTGGTCCCTGGTACCCACCATGTCTTTTTTACCAGTCCTGATCCTTCCCTCTGCCTCAGAGGCCTCCTGGACCCTGAATATCGCCAGACATCCCCACAGCCCCCAGTCAACCGCTCGTAGATGCCCAGACCAGGCTTGCTCAACCTTGGGGCCAGATAATTCCCTGGTGTGTGTGTGTGGGGGGGGGGAGGGGAGTAGGGCTGTCCTGTGCACTGTAGAACCTGAAGCAGCATCCCTGGCCTCTGCCCTCTCGATGCAGTAGCACCCCTCCCCCAAACTGTCTGCAGACACGCTAGGTGTCCCCTGGGGACTGACACATTGCCCCACTGAGAGTCACTGCCCTCGACAGCTTCATTTCTGAGCAGAACTGGGATTTGCAGTGACCTCACCACCTCTAATTTGTAGGTCTCTCTGCCTGGTGACCACGTCCTGGCAGATACCCAGGAAGGCAGCCCAGTATCCTCAAACCCTCCTGAGGCAAAGGACTTACTCATTTACCTCCAACACCAGTCGTTGAGCTAAACCGAGCATCTCTTTGGAAATAGCAAAGGGTCTCATGTTCTTGATTATTTTTCATGCCTGCGAAGTCCAGGGAATTTCTTCTAGGTGCGAAGGGGGCCTTACTCTTTCCCCTGTGTTCCCTTTCAGTGTTCTCTCCCCTCTGCTTCCTCCCCTTTTATTTTTTGTAGAACTGGTCTCACCTGAAGGAGATTTTTACTTCTTCTCTCTTTTTTATTCACACGGCTCGATAAAAGTCCCTCAGCATATTTGTGTAAAACTTAAATCTCAGAGGAGAAAGTCCCCTCGGAGAAGGCAGGCGAGGGGCCTGCTGGGTGCCTGTGCGGGCAGCTCTGAGCCCTTCCGCGCTGGGGTTTGGGGGAGAGCAGTGGTACCTTAAGCAGCGCGACTCCGTGTGGCTTCCAGAGACAAAGCTCAGAAGCTCACAGCGTCTCGCCACAAAATGCAGCCAATATGGAAAGTCAGTTTGGAATATTTGCCACATGAGGAGCGTTCCCTATTCTTTGGAATCCTGTTGAAAAGTTAGCTCATTGGAACCATTCTTTTCTATTCTCTGTTTACTTGGAAGTGGGGAGCATTTCCAGGTGTGTGTGTGTGTGTGTGTGTGTGTGTGCACCTCTCACCCCTCTGCTGCAGGCAGGCCTCCCGGATGCCTAGGCTCCCACCCCCATCCTCCCATCCATTGCTCACAGAGGGCTTGGTTGCTGTGTTTGTAGACTGAATTCTGACTCTAGGACTGCAGCTTGTCAGAGGCCAGAGGAGAACATGAGGAGTTGGAGGAGGGCTGAAGGCAGAACAGGGCCAATGTCCTAGTGATGCCGGACTGACCCTGGACAACCTGTGGGGAGAAGGGGTGAGGCCCGCTGCCTTGCCGAGTATCCCAGACCATCCTGAGAGCCTGCCTAGGAAAGAAAGGCAGGAGGCAGAGGACAGCAGTGGCAGTAGGGGTCAGAGCAGATCAGCCCCGCTGGGCCCCTTGTTCTTAGAGGGAGGAAGATGCCTATAGGGGAGGGAGGGAAGGAAAGGGGTAAGAGGAGACAGAGGGCTGAGGGGATCCTGAGCACTGGGGCCTGTCAGGTGGGGTACAGGAAAGGGTAGCAGAGGCCCCATGTGCTATATACATTTCTGACCTTTGGAGAGAGACCTTATTTAAGATGGAACATGATACAAGGCTGAATAAGACACACATAGTAAGAGATGTTTCCATTAGGTGCTATGATCATGGAAGCCTTCCTGGAGGTGGTGGGCTTGAACTGGGCCCACAGAGAGAAAGAGGAAGGCAGTCCAGGGGCAGAATTGAGAATTTGCATGTGCCTTAAGAGCCTGCAAGATCAGATTTTTTAAAAGTGATATTTCTTAAAAATGACCAGTAAAAGAAAAGGTGTGACAGATAATAAGGTTGAACCCCCCTGCTCAGGAAACATGGTATGCCTGGCACAACAAAGCCCAATCGTGTGAATCAATCTAGAAATGACTGTCAACAACATTTCAGCAAGACTTAACTAAGGTTGTCAGCCTTGAGAGGGCCTCTGCCATTGGCCAAGTACTGCAGAACTTATTCATGACTTGGAGGAAAGAAAGGAAGACCTGCTTGGCCTGCTTACCAAGCTCATGGACAGCTTAAGGCTTGTGGTCTCACTAAGCCAGGGGCCGACACAATCAAGATTCTGAAGGATCTGCTAGGCTGGAAGACGCTCAAGGGAACAGGGTGAAATGCAGTAGAGGTGGGTGTAAGGCCCATCCTCAAGCTCCAAAAGATCAATCGTCCTTAAAGTATAGACAAAGCAGCAGCAGATACAGACCAAGCTTGCACGTCTCTGCATGCTCAGGGGGGAGTCCCCGGAGCAGGGTGGCTGTGGTTTGGGTCTAGCCCAGTGCAGATCACCTGCACAATCTGCCCTCTGCATGCTCAGGCCATCCTTGGAATCCTGCACTGCATGTTGGGAATGATATTCTCTCAGAGCCCCTGGCAGATTGGAGCATGTGTTGGATGGCGTCCAAGAGGGCACAGGGACCAGGATTCCCACAACCCAAGGAGCCCAAAGGACCTGAGACCGTTGAGCTCAGAGAATACCTAAAGGGAAGTGGTATGGGGCTGCCTCCTAACATTTCAAGAACTGCGATGTTGAAAAAGTATTGCATTTACTCTATGTGGTTCCATAAGGTGGAACCAAGCCCAATAGGTGGGTTTGAAGGAGAGAGAGTTTTTGGATCAGTGCAACGAGGAGCTTCCTCATAGAGCAGCTCAGAGAGATGGCAGGGTCTGTCCTTTGAAAGAGAGAATGCTCAGCACAAGTTGGGCGTCTGAGCTAGAATTACACAGGGAAGGTTTCTACATCGTGTGGGTTTGAGAGAGACCTTACTTAAGAGACCTTAGCCGCTAAGGCAGCGGTTCTCAACCTGTGGGTCACGACCCCTTTGGTGGTGGAACGACCCTTTCACAGGGGTCGCCTAAGACCATCCTGCATATCAGATATTTACATTACGATTCATAACAGTAGTAACATCACAGTTATGAAGTAGCAATGAAGATAATTTTATGGTTGGGTCACAACATGAGGAACTGTATTTAAAGGGCCAGAGGTTGAGAACCACTGCACTAAGGGGTCTCTCTGATCCCCTCCAGTTCTAAGCCCCTGTAAACTCTGCTGTAGAGTAAACTTAACACATGAGTATTGGAGCAAAGCCAAAGCAAGGGGTCTTTTCGTCCATTTACTCAGCACTCAGCAAACATGTGTTATGTTCGAGGCACTGATCCAGGTGCCGGGGCTATAGCAGCAAACCCAGCAGAGACCTTTAGAAAACAGATCAGCAGTTGGGGGAGGGGGAGGCTCACAGGGGCACTAGGGAACTTTCCGGAGTGGTGGAAGCATTCTGTCTTGATCCACATAGTTATTTACATTTGTCAAAACTCACTGAATTATACACATAAGGTAGGTGTATTTTATTTTCTGTAAACTACACCTCATGGAGTTTTTTGGACAAAGGCCTGCCCTCCTGACCCTGTCCTCCTGGCGGGAGGAGACAGAGTAAGCAAATGCACCAACAGTTATGAGTGGCAGAGGGGGGACAGGTTAACGAGAATGTTTTCATGGAAAGGAGATGAGCATCACAGCGCGGGTTAGATCTGCCAGGAGGAGGGGGAAGAAATGAAGTTGCTCACTCCCTCTTCCCCAGGAATACGAGTGCCTGGAGCAAGAAAACGCAGTGCTGCGGCGGGAGATCGGGAAGCTGACGGAGGAGCTGAAGCACCTGAGCGAGGCGCTGAAGGAGCACGAGAAGATGTGCCCGCTGCTGCTGTGCCCCATGAACTTCGTGCCGGTGCTGCGGCCGGACCCGGTGGCCGGCTGCCTGCCCCGGTGAAGCCCAGCGAGGAGCCTGGTCCTTTTCATACCTGTGAGCGGGGTTCCCTCCGCATCCAGGGGACCTGTGGCTGGGCCTCCTCCACCGGTTCCTCTTCCCGGAGAGGCCGTCTTCTAGCTCCTCGGGGTGTTTTGTGGCTCATGGATCTTGGTCATCCCCCCACCACAGCCACATCCATGTGAGATGGGGAGGCACCTTGCCAGGCCTCCTCCTCGGAGCTCCGGGCCATGCCCACAGGCACCTGACTCTCAGAGCCTTGAGCGGATCCAGGACACCCAGGTTGGGAGACCACCCTCATGACTCACTTCACTTCCAGTATGGCAGCTACGAGGTTCCGCCGTTGTGCAGAATCATTTTCTCTAGAATTGGGTAATAAAGAGTGTTATTGTTTCTCTTTTTGGGCAAGTTCTTGGAATTTATTTATTAATTTGTTTGTTGTTAATTTTAGAGAGAGGGGAAGGAAGAGGGTAAGAGATAGAAACATCAGTGAGAGAACTATCGATTGGCTGCCTCCTGCACACCCCCTACTGGGGAACCAGCCCGCAACCCAAGCATGTGCCCTGATGGAGAATCCAACCAGCAACCTCTTGGTGCATGGGTTGAAGCTCAACCACTGAGCCACACTGGCTGGGCAAGTTCTTAGAATTTAGAGACGTAATATATTTTCTCTTCCTGAAGGGGTGTCCACTGTCTCCTCATGGGCCTTGCTTCTCCCTCCTGGTCATCTCCCCTGCAGCCTCATCCAAGCTGGATGGGAAGGCGACTTTGGGGGGCTGCAGAGCAAAGGCCAAAGGGACTTCCCTGTCACCCCAGGTGGGTCACAGCTAGACCCGTTTAGCTTTCCTGACCGCTGATCTGCTCTGATCCCTACTGCCACTGCTGTCCAGCTGGCTGCTCACCCACTCCACTGCTAACCCCCGCGTGTCTGCACCTGGCCCCGTGGCTCCACATAATAACTCAGGGACCAATCTCCTTCCATTTAGTTGCTCTGTACCCCCAAGGCATTCCAGCCCCCCTGGATCCCCTACTCTGCCTGGGAGACTTGGGAGGAGGGGTCCATGGAGGCGGATGGGGAGAGGCTACTTCTCAGAGGTGATAGTGGATCATTTTCTGCTCGCACTCCGTGGGCCAGACCTCAATCCCACAGCCTCACCCGGCTACAGGGCAGGTCGGGAAATGAAATTTAGCTTCATGCCCAGGGTGGAGGAACTGGATTTCATGACTTACTCGTAGTCTCTGCCATAGAAGGTGCAGCCGTTGTCCCTGCCACCCCACTGAAACGGCCCACTCCGAGTTCCCAGCAAGCTCCCTAACTTCCCAACAGCCCACGATACTGGCTTCTGCGTTTCTTCCTCTCTCTCTACCTGCTTCTCAGTATAAAGGGGCTCCTCTTCTTGGGGCCTCAGTCGCCATCTCTTCCTAGACTGATACCTCCCCTTCCGTGCCCAGAACCCAGCTCTCCTGCAGGCCACCTGTATGTGCAGCTTCCCGTCATGAGTCTCACAAGCGCATCCGCTCAACACGTTCAAAGCTGTACCCATGACCCCATCGTCTTTCCTCAAACTTGCTTCTCGGTCTGCTTTCACCTGTTTTATAAAGGGCTCCATCACTCACCTGGTCAGGTTGATGGACAGCACAGGTGCCCAGGTGCCCAGAGAGCATGGCTGCTTTCTAACTCTCCACATCATATGTGATTCCTCCAAGTTCTTAACGCCCCCGCCCCCCAGGTCCAGCCACGTTGCTCCAGTGTGCCAATGGCCTGGTCTGCTATCATGAACTTTATTCAAATTAGTTGCTGAACACTGGGGGTTGCCTCCCTAAGTTGTGCATTCATTGAGGTTGAGCTCACATTTCAGGGCAGTTAGACCTCCTTCACTTTTGATATCAAAACAGTACATTTGGAGTCAGGGAACCAAAACTAGGGTAGCCCAGGGTGTGAGTCATGGTGCTGGGGCCAAGTCCTCTCCAAGACAACTGGAGATGCGACGAGAGGTCTGAAAACCAAATGTTCCCTGAGCGTGGCTGTGAAGAATATTCTTATCAAGCTCCCATTAACATTAGGGCTGTTTCAGCTCCCCAGCTCCTATTCTGGCAAAGCAGAAAATCTGTATAAATCTGAGAGCTATTCGATTATTCCGGGAGTAGACAAGGGGAGTAGACAAGTTGGTGGGATTGGATTTGCTTGGTTCTACCCACACTGCTGCTGTGTGCCAGGCCCTGTGCATGGCGTCTGCGCTGGCTGTTTGTTGGGTGGGGGAGGGGCGGGAGGCTGAGAAAGTGTCAGCGAGGGAGGAAGCCCTTCCTTCACACCCACGCAGCCACACCACTTCCTGTCCGCAATCCCGCCCTTGCCTTGCACCAGCCCAGCCTTGAAGTCTGGGATTTCCATCACTGAATCAGGCCCCAGTTTTCACCCCAAACCTTGGCTGAGAATGATGACTCTAATGAACAGGAAAGTGAGAGGCCCAAAAGCCCCTCTCTTCTTTCCCATCAATGCTCGGGTTCCCACAGTCCCGTGGACTTACCAGGGCTGAGGGCTCTACCCTGGCAGGAGCTAGAAGAAAAGGGGCAGCTGAGAATCTCACTGACATGTCCCCCCCCTGTACCCCCCCTCCCCCCCGCGCCCCGGAGGATCTGGCAGAGTCATCCACGACACAGCAAGAAGGCTTATAATAGAAGGCCAGGGAGCAGAAGGAAAGAAGAATGGAGAGGAGAAAGGAGAGAGAGTGAAGGGAAGGAAGAAGGGAAAGAGAAGAAAGGAAAGAAGGTGATGGGGATCTTTGAGCTCAGAACCGAAACCCTCCCTGCTCCTGGGGAAGTTATGCGGAGTCCCCAGGAGGCTATGCTATTGAAAGCCCCTCCCCAGTGAGAGTGGAGGTAGCCAAGGCCAGAATCTCTGGAAACTGCTCTATGCTTAGGGTCATGGAAACATTCCTGGATCACCCACTTGGAGATTGACCACCTTGATGGAATTGTCTCCCCGTCCCCCCTCCCCCCTCCCTGCCCAACCATTTGGGACAAAGAAGATTCATGTGGTTACTTTGTCACCATGGACATCATCACCATCAGCCGGTGCCCCGGTGTGTGTGGCATGGCATGCTGGAAGAGCTTGTGTCCTAAATCCGGGGCTGTGTTCAAGGCAGACTCTGCCCCGAGCAGCGCATCTGCTCTTTTGGGTGCTCAGCATGACCTTTTCTGGTACAAGATTCTTAAGAAGATCAGAAATGTCATCACAGATCAGACAAAAGGCCACTGGCCCAGAATTCCAGCCACAACACTGAGGGAAAGTGAGGGAGAGTCCAGTGTTCGCATTCAAAGACACCGTCCTTAAATGCCAGAGGTGCCCTCGGAACTTCCCCGATTTCCCTTAATAACCCGCTACTTTATCTATTGTCTGTTAGTCGAGACTTGTCTTGCACTAGTTTAAGTTCTCAGCCACCATGGGCAGGGCGTCAGCGTTTGCTACAAATCCAGGGGGACCGGTTCATGGACAGCGCAGGTGCCAGGGCTCAGGGGCCCGGAGAGCGGGGCTGCTTTCCCGGCGTTCACCCAGCTTCCTTGCAATCTTTCCTCTAGACAGGAGGGAGGCAAAGCAAAAAGGAGCACCTTCCCAAATGTTGTAAACCCACAGAAGGCTCAGTTCGCCTGGCAGTAGTTTTTGACACTGAGAAAGTGAGAGAGTTTGAGACCCACCAGTGGAGGCCCACCAGCATCCAGAGCTTCAAGGAGGGAAAGAACCAGCGAATGCACCTCGCAGCAGTCCTTGAACTGTGGCGGGGACTTTGCTAATGATTCTTTATTTATTACAGAACTTATTAATAGTTAACTACCTATTTTAACCAATTATTTATTTATTCTGGCAATAAACCAATACCTTTACTTATAAAAATAAATACTATGTAGTTTAAAATGATAAAATAATTTATTAATCGTTTGTTGTAATTACTTACTAATTAGGTAGTGTTCAAATAATCTGCAGTGTTATACCCATTGTGTGTGTCACAGGGAACAGGACCAGCAAGGGAAGACCCCCCAACACACACACACACACACACACACACACACACACACACACACCTTAAAGGGCCACCTAATCATATAACTTCTAAAATCTCACCTGAAGACCTCAGTTTGAGCAGAAGAAATTTCATGATATTTTTCATCTGGTTGAATCAAGGAACACTCCTACCTAAATTCTAAATAACTACAAGACAGGGGTCCTGTTTTACTTACCCATTTATCTCTGGTTGCTAACCACAGCACCTACCCCAGGTGACCAGCACTAAAAGTGTCCGTTTGAATGACTGATTGAATGAATGGCTACTCCTTCCCTCGTCTTCATCTAGTTCAGTCCCTCACCCCCTTCCAACCCTCTAAACATCACTTAATATTACTCTATTTATGATGTGAATTCCTCATTGTGGTTTCCCCATTTAAGAGCATGGACCTGACCTACTTCCTTTGTTCCTGTAATTCTTCATCTGGGTCAGATTGCCTGTTGTAAATTAGGGATTCCCATAAGTCAGCAGTGACGTTGCTTCCTAAAGGCCCTGCAACAAGAGTCGGAAGTGACAATAGGCTGGTGATGATAAGGTGGAGGCATGGGGTAGAAAATGGACAGGAAACACATCGCTTCAGTCATTGTCTTCAATTTTATTAAACATTGTAAATAGAGCTATATTTTTATTTTTTTCGACAGTTGTTACTTTTTGTCTTTAATATTTGCTCAGGGTTACTTAACTTACCAGGTCAGGTGTTCACTGAGGAGTTCATACCAGTGCCCTGGTCTGGAGAGGGAAAAAGAATGAAATTGAATAGGCTGGTCTTGTAGGGGAAAAGTTCATGGGAAAAGGATGTGTTGTCTAGAGGACACCGCTCAGGTATTCCAATTACTGTCTTTCAGTGTCTTTGAGCCATTTTACAACTCTGTAAATTGTAGCTACTTGATATCAATACAAAATAATTTTTTAAATATATTTTATTGATTTTTTTACAGAGAGGAAGGGAGAGGGATAGAGAGTTAGAAACATCGATGAGAGAGAACCATCGATCAGCCGCCTCCTGCACACCTCCTACTGGGGATGTGCCTGCAACCAAGGTACATGCTCTTGACCGGAATCGAACCCAGTACCTCTCAGTCCTCAGGTCGACGCTCTATCCACTGAGCCAAACCGGTCAGGGCCATACAAAATAATTTATAGCTATAACCCTGGCTGGGTGGCTCAGTTGGTTGGACCATCGTCCCATACACCAAAAGGTTGGGGGTTGATTCCTGGTCAGGGCACATACTTAGGTTTTAGATTTGATCCTCCCGGTCCAGGCGCATACAGGAGGCAACCAATCAATGTTTTTCTCTCTTTCTCCCTTCCTCTCTCTTAAAAATCAAAAATAATAATAA